TGTGGTTCTGTTCTGTTCTGTTCTGTTCTTTTTTTTTTTTTTTTAAGGTATCTAGATATTAACAATTTTGTGTAATCTGTCTCAGCAGGTGGCAGCACCTAGTCATCCTTAGCTAATCTGAAGAAAGCTAAGCAGGGTCAGACCTGGTTAGACCACCAGAAAAGGGGTGCAGGCTAGACAGGGAAGTCAAAAAAGTCTTATAAGGTGGCCATGACAAAGCAATTTCATTTAGCTTCCAAAGAAAGCTATGCTGACATCTCCATGTAGTCACCAGGAAACAAGTTCAACTTGAGGAAGTCTTGATCTTTGTAATTTAAAAATTTTTGAAAAGCATGTCTTCAAAGAATATCTATTTCCTTAACATTCATTGTTGTTGTCAATTGAATTAGAAAAAAAAATCTTGAGTTTAATAATATACTTAATCACAAGCTTTTAAATCCTGTATCATCCCTAGAATTTATGGTAACAGAGCTCCTATCTTTTCTATACTGACAGCTTGCTATGTAAACAAATGATTCCACATGCACTACTGACTGCGTCCTCTAGCTCTCTTTTGGGAAACTCACCAAATTTGTGATTAAAAACAATGCCAGCTAAGCTTACCCACAAGATCAGCATAACCACTGGGTCATACCCCAACAGGCACATATTTAACAGACACTATTAAAGAACCCCCAGGCATATACATTTATATATCAAGAAAGGTTTCCCAGGATCAGAGTTCTTAACTGTATGGTATCTCCAATTGCTGGAAATTCCTTTATGTTCAATAGACTTGTGTTCAACTTAATACATTAATTCCAGGAGCATAGCTTGAGGGATGCACTGAAATGTTCTGGGACCACTTTCAACATATCTGAAAATACATGAGACTCTTGAAGAAATTTCCTCCTGTTCTTTTAAAAATAATGTATTTTCTATTCAAAAAGACAATTGAATTAAACATGATGAAGTAACATGGGAGAATAATTAGTGGCTTCCTACTTCTTTAATACAATTCCCAACATTTTTCATTGGCTATACTGACTGAAGTTGCTGGGGCTGAAGCTCAACAACAGCTAAAGAACTAGAGGTCACCACATCTGCATGACAAAGTCCATTCCTGTTACTATGCAAAGGTTACCAATCTCTTCGTAATGTACCCTCATCCTCACTCTTTTTGGCCGCCCAATAATGCATTGGTTCTCCAATATTTGACATTAAAGGCCACACAATGGTTACTTTGCACCAAACAAGAAACTGATTAACTCATTTGCCTAGATTGTAAGGAATCAACATTTAAATTATGTGCACAAATCAGAGATTACATCCACAGTGACTTTCAATGCTGTTTTGCTTTTTTATTGCAGAGGAAGGAAATCTGCTTTGAAAGCATTTCCAACATTTGAAAATCATCATAAAGGACATCTTATACAGCCTATATAACAGATTGGTAAACCAGAATGATATTATTCCTGGATAGTCTCTAAACTGATTCAAAATATTTTAGAGACGTCAATCCTAAATTTGCCCTTTTTATTTGCTAAAACTATCTGGAGATTAGTGCAAGCTATTACTATATTTCATGTCTCTCTTAGTTTGTTTTATAACTACTTATTTCGTTATTTATCAGGTATTACATCAGGAGTCAACATACTTTTCTGTATTCAGGCATATAACACAATCTGAAAAGATAGCTCAGGTATTCTGCAAAAAATATTTGGAATCTTGCAAGTTTTTAGTGAAACTGATTTAGCCAAAGGTATACTAAAGCCCTGCTACATGGTTCCCCAGATGAGAATTGGGAGACAGAAGTAGGAACTGGCCCAAGACTTCCATTCCCAGAAGGCAGCCTGTCCCCATCTTCTGCCATATCCGTACATCACCACATTAATGCATTCCCCACTTCTCTACCCCATTCTCTCTATTCTATTTTGGACTAAAAGACTTCCAAGGTCCCTTCCAACCCTATGATTCTATTCCATTCATAATTGCAGCAGATGGCTCATGAGACTAGCACCCCAATTCTTCACTACTCAATCATGCCTGTGGCTGCTTTGACATCACTACATAGCCACCACTCCCACCATCCACAAACCAGCTATCAAATTTAATCCCTTCCAAACTCCTCCCCTCAGCTCCCCAACCTCCACTCCCACCCAAGTCACTTAAGGGGAGGGCTTCCCCTGGAACTCCTACTCCTGCTTGGGAGAGTTTTCCCCTGCCTCTCTCACCCAAAAGGTGCCTGAAAACCTGCAACACTTTTCTCAGTTCAAACACTCCGAAGTGCTTTCAGAGCTTCACTTTCTCCTCCCATATCAGACTGATATTAAATTTACTGCTGATTTAAAACTAATGGGGCCAAAATTAAACTATCCATGAATATGCCTACCTTCCAATTTCAATATAATTCCAAATATGGAAACAAGTACGGCTATGAATCACACCCAAAGTACAAAACATGAAAACAAAATTTTGCATTTTTTTTAACAGAAAGTACAGAATTTCTAGTTATTTGTTTTTTCCGCTGAAATAAGCTACACAAAACTGAAAAAGTAGATGCGGACATCTCAATAGACAAAGCAAAGAACCCGCTAACTATTGTATGTGATATAGTGGCCATCCTAATGCTGACAGGAATGAGGCTATGTGACACAACAAAGTAAGTTAAATACTTCAACAGTCACACAAAGTTCACGTTTTTAAAGTTCTCAGAATGTTTAGCCAAAGTTAAGAGATTCACTGACATCTCAGCTTGAAGGAGATGCTATATGCCAGTTTCAATTACAATAATGATTTTGCCTTTATTTGGATTAATTTAAATTAATAGGTTAAATTTGCCAAGATTTTACATAAGATCTACATATGTGTACAATATTTGGTTTCCCACAACTTGACATATCCATCAAGTCCTGACACTTTTACTGGACTTTTGTTCTTAAATTCCCAATGTGGGATTTGAAAGGATACATATTGTAGCATGGTTCAGATATTATGAAATGTTTCCCTAGAAATTCTAAGAACTATCCTGGAAACTTTCTTGGCATGGCTTTATTAGTTTCTCAATTTTAATGCTTCATGCTGCATTGTATAAAAATAATGGAAATGGACAAGTTTTCCACTAAGAAATGTTCTGTGTTATAAAATTTGTATTCTATATTGAGTTTTCAGATGCTATAGGGTTTTTCTCCCCATCACTATGCAAAGTAACAATGTATGTATGTATGTATGTATGTATGTACGTTTATTCATGGGGTGATAAAATTCTCACCAACAATCCAAATGATTAATGTATTCTCCCCAATTTTCAGAATTTGGTCATTATTCCCAACCAGAATGGTCACCTCCAATGGTCACTGTACTCCCAACACATCTGGAGGGCACTAAACTGGGGGAAGCTGGACTAAAGCATTAATTGCTGATTTGGGTAGAACTGCAGGCATTAAAAAGGCAACTCAATTTCACACTGTAATCTGCTTCAGCTGAAATTTTCAATGACTTTCATTCAGTTATTAATATATTTTCTGTTACAGCTATGCATCAGTCATCAGCATTTCCAAAGAACACCCTGACTAGCCCAGGAACAGAGAATGCTGGAGATGTGACACCAAGAATACCCCTAGGTGCTCCCAGTACCCATTTTCAAACATAATCATGCATCTGGCCAAGGTAATTAGAATCACACTTGACCAGGGCTACTCTATCTGGTGCTAAATTTGGGTGCTGTTTCGCAGAAAAACTCCGAAAGACAAATCTGGGGATGAATTACCTCCACCTCATTCCATCCAAGCTGGTCTCTGTGATGCTAGTGAGATATGGATGTTCATCCAATGCGAAGCCCTCGATGGCCATGTTTCCCACTTACACATCTGGAGTTCAATACTGACCCTAAGCCACTCAGGTTATCTAAACTCAGACGGAGCCTGAGAGCAATAACTCAGGACTCTAAGCCTATTTGGAAACTTTTTACACTGGAGAAAGTAATATATACATTTTCTAATAAAAAAAAATAGAAGAACTGACCCTCTGTAGCATTCCCAATTATCTTCTCTTTTACTATCAGACATTTCTAACAACTGATAAAACAGTTGAGACAGACAACTATACAAGATGACAAACCACCATCTCCCTCCTTTATCTTGTTGCCATTTGCTCCCAAAGTGGCTCCCATAGAGGAAGTAATCCAAGTCAGTATTATATTCTTGTTAGGTACTGGTTCCAGAAAGGCAAGGCAAACTAATGAAATCTCACACCATATAGCTTTGGTGGGGGGGGGGAAATGGCAAGTTCAATCCCTAATATTGCTAGAAGGCAACCATCTCTGGTCTTAGGAATATCTCATATCTTGGAGGGGAGGAGGGTGGAGGAGGGAAAATCTATCAACATTTGTCAAACACAACGTGTTAAT